GATAGGACCTCTGAAACGTCGGTAAACTTCTACCAGAAGACGTCAATCTTCAGACTCCCCTTCTTAAAAACCTTAAATCCTACATAACGGTGGTCATTTTGAACACCTAGACTTCATTCGCTAATTTAGTAAGTGCCGACGTTTTCATCTGCATTTTATTTATTGTGTATATCTTTTTGGGACATTCTGTAGAGACCCTTTAGGACTTCACTCATTTATTGGGAGGGCGGTGAAAGGAACTGACAGGGAATAAAACATATAACATAGGTAGAGGAATTCTGCGGGCAGAGACTTCGTGGTTTTCTGAGTAGGCTTTTCTGCATTTATTTGGTGTTCAGTTGAGGGGTCAGGGATGTTGTAAAACTGTTTGTAGGCGGGAACTTGGCTCTCTCTTTTGTGGGATAGCACTGTTCTACGAAATTCACTGAAGTGGTTATTTCCATTTGTTCCGAATGATTTACGTTACAGTAAAATGATGCCTGTCCCTAAACATTAACATCAAGATATGAAAACAGATGGAGGTTGTCTGAGGACAGGGGGCTTCAGAAAAGTACGCAGTGACGAGCCCAAATTATGATTGTATCAAGGAGGATGAGATGTGTTTGGCATGTAGCACGCATTGAAGAGATGAGAAATTCATAATTGTTTGGTAGTAAACGTGATGGGACGAGGGATGAAGAGTCTGTACCTATGAGGCGTTTTTATTTTTCGCTTTGAGTAAGGAAGAGCAGTTCTAAACGTCGATCATAGTGTACGTCCCAGGCCGTTTAAAGAATGTCCTATCGTATAATCGACGATTCCACGCTGGAGTTCAATCTTAAGGAAATATTTGTTTTTTCCGTAAAGAATACCGTAGATGTATCTTTACCGGGAAGAAACTTGTAGCGTCTGTTGTGGTCAAGACTTTAATCTTACATCGTCCCTCGTAGGAGAAAATAAAAGTAATCTTAATTGGAACTCAACCACTGACCGCCCTGATATCTTACGTATTTATTTATGTCATAAATTTGGTGTATATTGCTCTGGGCTGCTAGAAAAGACGTATGCAGTACATGGCCGGTGACTCCACAGTGAAAAGCACTTATTAACGTATTTGTAACGCTCTGAATATTATCTGACAGGTCTGTCCAAGATAAAATCAGGATTTCGTTAACGATACGACTGATTATACCATTTTATCATCCGTTACTAATGTTTTAATTTCAATCTTTCGTTGTTTATTGCGTCTAATCCTAATGATATTTAAGAAATAATTACTCTGCTCTTAAAGTTGCCTGTATGTGCCCTGACTTTTAGGCCACGAAACTGATGGGATTTTCATAGCCTGTAAAATTTATACGAGTTTAGTCTGGGAGCCTCTTTAATTATATGCGGTGCGTCATTCGTGGGGATCTTGTAGAAATAAAGAAACGTAGCTGACTTCTTGTTACTGTGAGTTTGACGTTAGTAGCCGAGATGTGCACTAATTTTACCCGTGATATGGCATTCTGTATTAGCCGGGATAGCTCGGTCAGTATAGTGACTAGCTACGGGCTGGACGACCGGGGTTCGATCCCCGACGGGGGCAGAGGATTTTTCCTCTAGCC